TCGCAGAAGCAGCAGCCGATCGGGCGACCAGCAAACTATTAACTTGACTCTCACTTCAATTAGCCACTTGACAGCATCAGCCCAATCCTCACTCTTCACTACAAACTGTATGCAAAGTTTCAGCTCTGCCGACCGGCCTGAGCACGCACGACTGCCCAGTTGCCGGTTAGACTGTTGGAATCGACGGTCGCGAGGTGATTAGGCCCAAAAAAGTCGGCATTCAGGCTCATTTGGAGCTGGAGTGAACAGAATGCGATTACAAATTCACGAGCTAATTGAGTACATGTGCGAGACGACTGTATAGCCAGACCTAAATCCATGACATGTAGATGACAAATCAAGCCAAACGCCACGACAACGGCTGTCTTTGTTGTCACTCAAAGCCCAACGAGGTAGACATAATGCATTTTTGGCATCGATTGTCTCAGAGGGAATGACATTTTCACATGTTCCAACTACTAGCCATGCTGTCAGTCAATCTGGTTGTCATGCAAGAAAATGATAATCTGAGTAAAACGATTAAGAATGCTCTTCTTGGTCGGCATTCACTTTCATGCGGAAGCGGCAAGGCTGCAGAAGATGATACATTCGGATGATACAACAATTCGTTACTGCAGGTTAAGGTATAGAATCAACCGACCTCAACTCTATTCAACTCTACTCAACATTATTCAATTCTACTTAACTCTACTCATCTCTACTCAACTCTACTTAGCTCTACTCACATCTACTCAACTCTCCTCAACGCTACTCAACTCTCCTCAACGCTACTCAACTCTACTTAACTTTACTCAACTCTAATCATCTATACTCAACTCTCCACAACTCTACTTAACTCTACTCAACTCTACCCAACTCTTCTAAACTCTACTCAACTCTACTCATTTATACTCAACTCTACTCACCTCTACTTAACTATGCTTAACTCTAATCAACTCTACTCAACTCTTCTCAACTATACTCAACTCTACTCATCTCTACTCAACTCTACCTTCGGATGATACAACGATTCGTTACTGCAGGTTAAGTTATAGAATCAACCGACCTCGCGACGTAGCAACTCGCCTACCTGACATCGTTTATCCCACCACTTATGCGTGAAACGAGAACAGAATGGCTTGTTAATACCATCAAAATATGCTTTTTTATTACTTTTGACAAAGTAATTGGTCGGTCCAAGTCTTAGAGTGCCGTTGAATTTCACTTATTTATGCCTCCTAAAAGACTGTGGTTTCGAATTCATCTGCGACCCAACCAGAATTGGATGCTACTCGAGAACTACTTATGTCAAAAATAAGTAGTCTCGTCGTGGAAAATTCCATCAGAAAATTGGGAGTTGGCAGGTATCTGGCTTGCAGTTCTTAGCAGTTTTTGTACACAAAATCACTCTCTCTCTCTCTCACACACACACACACACAAATACATCTACATGCAGATGCACAAACACGGACTCTAATGATGCCTCGGTACTTCATCCGTATTTTACGAGACGTCTTGTCCTCGACGTCAGGTTTCTGTCTTGGTATGATCCGAACTTGAGTCCTGTTGGCAATTGGAACCTTGACTGGCGAATCAGGCATTAACTTGTTGTCTGTCTGTGAAGGCTTATCCTCGCCAGACACCTTCCAAAAGAGCCTCAGAGAACGCTGCTCTTTTCCGCCGAGTCCGGCTAATAAAGCAATCCGAAGCATGCTTGTTTTACCAACAAATTTCTTTATCTCTTCCAACATCTGAAGGCTCGCCTGCATGCATTTAAAGACGTTCGTCTGCAAGGTTCGGACGCAGTTTTATTTTTTCAATTTATGTTTTCCTATATTTTATTATATTGCCAGCTTTTTTCATTTTGATGTATGCACCTATCCATGTCTGTGTCCTGATATTGAGAAAGCACGGCAGTAGTCCAATTGAGCATGGATGAGTTGAGTCAAGTTGAAGTGCACAACCAAATGTAAGTACATAATGCGGGAAATGGTACATAATTCAGCAGAACATAGTATGCTTGCTAGTATTAAGCTGAGTTGGGATAAGTATACTCGTTAGTATAAGCATATGCTTAATCTAAAATAGGTTGTATTCCTTTCTTTGATGTTCACCTTCATTATGCGGTCATAAATGTGGGCAGCGTTGCACGCTTATCCCTTATGGGAGCAGGGCAGATGACGGTGATTAGAGTCCGGCTCTATTGTTTAATCGCTCTAATCTCAACGTATTGAAGCCCCTCCAACCGCCATCGATCAGTAGTTATGCCTACATTACATAAAATACGAATAAAAACTTGCAAACTTCTGAATACAGATCCTACTTGAAGCCCATCGTCTTTTGTTCAGCCTGGGCATGTCGTCGAGTCTCTCTCGTACCGAACTTGCGTAAAGTGTTTTGAGGCCACAACCTCCACATGAGCAATAAAATGCACGACGAAAGAGGTGAGACGAAATGTTGCAGCAATGAGGAGTGGGCTTCTCGAGGAGAAGGAGTCCGATGGTTGCAGCAAAAAGCTGAATTATCCGACAAGGCCAGAACAAAATTCACCAATAAATAGTATATGCTACTTAAACTATTGGTGAGTAGTATCTATGAAAGTCAAAATTGCATTATACTCAATAGAATCATAGGCCTGACGGATAGATGGCAGAGTCATCATTATGCTTCATACCTGTCAACTCTCAAGTTAATATTTTGGCTTAACTGGAGGCATAGATCAAATGTAAGCCTAGAGGTTAATAGGTTCAGAGCAGAATTGTAGGTAAAATATATTTCGACATAATGCAACATTGTGAGGAAGGAAAGGATTTGAAAAATCAGAGAACACTCAGGACCCATGGAAGGGTAGAGAAAGAGTTGTATAACAGAAAAACATTAGACCAATATTATTTTTGAATATGGATTGAGAAACTCCTGGTATAGTCCAACTAATTTCAATTAAATAATAAAAATTCACAAGGCCACTGGTAAGGTTGGTGTTAGCAAATAGTGAATGTAAGTACTTAAGTTATCTTAGTGAAAGTTGCCTTGATTCCAAATGAGATTCCCACGACTGTGCAGAGCAATTTAAAGTTGATCTTAGAAAAATAAACAACCCGTTTTACATAATATTTACACAAAAAGCCTTGGACAACATGCTTATACTGCCACTGAATAAGCCGGAAATTGAAGAATAATGTGCTCAGGTGGAAATAATTCCTCTAGCCTCACCTAAAGTAGTTCTAGTTGCTGTGTCTTTGGTAATAGCGACTTGTAGATATGCTCCAGAAACTGGACACTCATAATAAAGCCTCCAAAAACGATTTACGCAAGAAGTGATTTAATACAGTTTAGCCTATTTTAATTAAAGTTAAATTTAGTTTTTTTGAAAATAAACTCTGGGAGGCCTTCGAGTCAGGAGGCTTTTCAATCACGAATGACGTTGATTTACACGCCTGGTTTTTCCTACAAAAATGTGAGGCTAAATATAGCAAAAAGATGATGCATAAATCTTTTGAGCAAAAATATTCGAGAGATAATAACATATACAAATTAATGTATTCATGGCATTCAAAAGGAATGCGACAACATAAAGTTGAGTTCAGCTGCATTAGGTGATACAGCAAAATCTGAATATGTCCTATCAACTCGGTTTTAAATTGAAAACTTTAGCAAAGCGCATTAGGCCTGCTAGTATAAAAATGGCTTACTTAATACAAATATAAGTAGCTAAATAAATTGGAACGGTAAATACGACACTCCCACAATGAGTATGGTAAAAAGCTTGAATCGTCATGTAAACCACATTTGCCCGGTTACTAATTGGTACCAGTCTCAATAACGTGTATCCCTGTTGGATTACTGTCGGATGGGCTAAAGAGACTCAAGCAAGGTCGAAAATGAAGTCTAGTTCCGTCTAGTAAGATGAAGTATATCTCATTGGTATCAGTGTAAGAACATTCAGTTATCACTTCCTCATCACGAAGCCTGACACCATCAAATACTTATTTAAAGATATAAATAAATAATATTTAAAGATAGATTATCTATAGGGAAGGAGAGCTGAATAAATAATGTATCGTATTTTGATTTGTCGCCAGCCTTATCCAAGTTCTTACATAAAACTAACTGAATAACTAATAAATTTTCCCATGTTAAAAAATGATTATGCTTCTATTTTGCCCACCAGCTTGGTCGTTAGACAGGCCGCTAAAAACTAAATTTTTTAAAAAAAGGCTTCTGATGTGCTAGCTACTTATGCGCTTTGAAAACTGGAAAGATTTACTGGTTTGCATCATAAATAAAATTATGTATCTCAATTAATTCGAACATATGAATTCTTACACTAGTCGGGCTAACTGTAAATATGCCCGATACGATTACACCGATTCAATTGACAAGGATATTGCAGAACAGCCAAACAAAAATGCATATTTGCCCAAATTGTCGTCAAATTATCGTCTTTAACAAACAAGTATATTATGCTCACATACTACTTATTGCTGTGTAATTAAGTAGGCAGGTGAGTGAGTAGTATGCACTTCATCAAGGCCCAATTCAATATCGCCTGCTTCCCAGCGAGGCTGAAACGAGGTTCGGCCCGTCGAAGAGGCCCCGTCGACTTTTTCGGAGACCAACAGCAACTTGTTACAAAATTCAATCATGGCAACAGCTTCGAGGGCTGCTGTTGTCACTTACGGTGTCGGTTTGCTCCAGGCCGGTGGTCCATTCGCCTCTGCGCTGAGCCATTTCGGAGTCGGACGACGAAAGCATGCCAAATGGTTATGCCTGAATAAAGAAGAAGAAGCGCATCGTCCGTAATTCCACACGTTCGCAGGTCGAGGATGCAGGCGACGGAGGTGCTGGCACCAAACACGGTACAGCAGTGTCGGCGCAAACACATGCACACCTGCGTTCTTGCACACGCATAGGCACACGCACAAAGATCAGAGCACACACACGAACTGGGAAGAGCCGAGAATGAGTAGACAAGGTCGCTTAGCTTGACATGTCAATTTCATTTGAAGAAAGGCTCAATTCACCCGCCTTAAACTCGAGCTCTTCGGTCGCTGATTGGCCGAACTAGTTCAGCCAATCACGGTACTCATATTTGGGCCAATTTTAGACCAGCCCACATCAGAGGCCCAGTCGCTCTACGCGCCATTCTTGCAGGACGAACCTTTTGAAATGCATGACTCAACCTTCATATAACAGGCAACGCTTCAAAACGCACAGTTAATCCTTATTAGCCAAAAATTCTAGTACATTTAAGGATTCACATGACGAGATCGGCACCAGGGCAGGTGACATTCACAATAAAGTAAAATGGAAGTGATACCAACTGTTTACAGCCAACCACTGATTTTTACATGAGAACAAAATTATTATTCAAAACAACCTATACTACTTACAAACTACTTGGTAAACCCGCTTGTGTGTCGTGCATTATGTCTGACATCTAATTTCTAATGGGAATGTGACACAATTAGTCTGATTTTAGCTGTTTTATAAAAATTGTTTCGGGATCCAATTTCGAAATGCAACAAATGGTTAATCTCTTTTTGAATGAGAATATGCATTTGTCTTCTTTCGGTCTGCACCTTCTTAACTGTTTTTGCTTAACTCGGCTGTTAAAAGATGTGGAGGCAAATTGGCGAATAGAAGAAGACCAGAGGGTGGTTCGGTGGAGTTGCGTTCACTTTTATGCGATGATTTGTTCAAGTCTATCGAAATGCTCTTGAAATAAGTCAGGTGATGGCGAGCATGAGCTGACACTGCCAGATGGCTGTAAGGCAATAAGATCAAATGTCAAAGTTCCGGATTCCAAAACTTTGGCTGGCGAAGGAATGAAAAGAAATGGTTAACATGGCTGGAGGTATAGATTAAACGGTTTAAACTCTTTAGACTACAGGTTCAACTTTCGCTCTATTTTAATACCTAAATTCCTGAGTTTCAGCAACTTAC